TAAATAGGGGCACGACGGTAGCACATCTAAGCGAATTTGTGGAAGCGAGCAATGCCTTCGCCCTCACTGATTCTCAGGGAGCCGCAACGTCGACAGCAGTGTCCGCGCCCGCCTTCGACGTCAATCAAAGCCTTTCCAGGCAGCAACAAAAGGAGCTCAAAGCCTTACTCCACCAATACAAGGACTGCTTCTCGTCGTCGTCGAGGCTTCGTCAGACCCCTCTCGCGAAACATCGCGGCATAACCGACGAATATGCCGTCCGCTCCGTCAGAGCCCCTACCGAGTTTCTGCACGGGAACGCGAGGCCATCAAGCAACAATTCGACGAAATGCTGCGTGACGACATCATTCAGCCGTCTACGAGTCCGTGGGCATCACCCGTGGTGTTGGTGAAGAAGAAGGACGGAACCCTACGTTTTTTGCGTCGATTATCGTCGCCTGAACAACATCACGAAGAAAGACGTGTATCCCCTCCCACGGATAGACGATGCTCTGGACAGACTCTACAACGCCAAGTATTTTTCGTCGATGGATCTCAAAACCGGCTACTGGCAAATCGAAGTAGACGAGAGAGACCGAGAGAAGACTGCCTTCATAACACCAGACGGCCTATTCGAGTTTAAGGTCATGCCCTTGGTCTTTGCTCGGCGCCTGCGACGATTCCAACGGTTATGGACACAGTACTCGCAGGCTTGAAGTGGCAGACTTGCCTCGTCTACTTGGACGACGTAGTCGTATTTTCTTCCAACTTCGACGAGCACCTCCGGCGCCTTGAAGCTGTTCTTCGGGTAATCAAAGCCTCGGGACTTACCCTGAAGCCAGAAAAGTGCCGCTTCGCCTACGAGGAACTATTGTTCCTTGGCCACGTTATCAGCAAGTCGGGAGTGCTCCCTGATCCACAGAAAACAGCTGCGATAGCCGACTTTCCTGCACCCACCGACAAGAAAGCAGTACGCCGATTTCTTGGCCTCTGCGCTTATTACAGGCGCTTCGTGAAGAACTTTTCGCGGATCGCCGAGCCACTGACGTACCTCACGAAGGCCGACGTCGACTTCAAATGGGAAACGCCGCAAGTCGAGGCATTTCAAGAATTAAAGCGACGCCTGCAAACGCCGCCAATACTGGCGCACTTCGACGAAGAAGCTGACACCGAAATTCACACGGACGCAAGCAGCACAGGGCTCGGCGCCGTGATCGTGCAGAGGACCGACGGACTTGAAAGGGTCATCAGTTACGCTAGCCGGTCACTTTCGAAGGCAGAAGCCAATTATTCCACGACAGAAAAGGAATGCCTTGCCATCATCTGGGCTACATCAAAGTTCCGCCCCTACCTGTACGGCAGGCCTTTCAAAGTCGTGAGTGACCACCACGCCTTGTGTTGGCTAGCTACTTGAAGGATCCATCAGGGCGCCTCGCACGGTGGAGTCTCAGACTACAAGAATTTGACATCACCATCGTCTACAAGAGCGGACGGAAGCACTCCGACGCCGACTGCTTGTCTCGCGCCCCTGTCGATCCGCCGCCCCAGGATGACCAGGACGACGACTCTTTCCTGGGACCCATAAGTACCGACGACTACGCGGAACGCCAACGAGCTGACCCGGAGCTCAAGATCCTCATGGACTACCTGCAAGGCAAGACCGCCGACGTGCCGAAAGTATTCCGTCGAGGACTGGCTTCGTTTTTCCTGCGAAACAACGTCCTCCTGAAGAAAAACTTCTCGCCGCTCCGCGCCGACCACCTCATCGTGGTACCTTCAGCGTTACGTTCAGAGGTTCTGGAAGCTTTACACGACGACCCGACAGCCGGACATCTTGGTGTTTCCCGCACACTGTCACGATACAAGAGAAGTACTATTGGCCTCGCCTCGCTGCCGACGTCGCCCACTACGTAAAAACATGCAGAGACTGTCAGCGACGCAAGACGCCGACAACTAGGCCAGCCGGACTTCTGCAACCCGTCGAACCACCTCAACGGCCATTCCAACAAATCGGCATGGACTTACTGGGGCCGTTCCCGACGTCAACTTCTGGCAACAAATGGATTGTCGTAGCGACTGACTACCTCACCCGCTATGCCGAAACAAGGCTGGCCCAAGGGCACTGCCGCCGAGGTCGCCATGTTCTTCATTGAGAACATCGTCCTCCGCCACGGAGCCCCCGAGGTCCTCATCACCGATAGAGGTACGCCTTTACGGCTGACCTAACGCAAGCGATCTTGAGGTACTGTCAGACAAGCCACCGCCGAACCACCGCGTACCACCCACAGACGAATGGCCTCACCGAGCGTCCTAAATAAGACCATCGCCGACATGCTGGCCATGTACGTGGACGTCGAGCACAAGACGTGGGACGCCATACTCCCGTATGTAACCTTCGCGTACAACACTGCCGTGGCAGGAAACGACGCAGTTTGCTCCATACAAGCTCGTCTACGGACGGGCCCAACAACGACGCTTGACGCCATGCTACCGGTCGGCACCGACGAAGAAGACCTCGACGTCGCCAGCTACCTGGATCGCGCTGAAGAAGCTCGACAGCTAGCCCGCCTGCGTATCAAGAGCCAACAGACGGTCGACAGGCGCCACTACAAACCTTCGACGACACCACACCGAATACCAACCAGGTGACCCTTGTCTGGGTCTGGACGCCGATACGACGACGGGGATTGTCTGAGAAGCTCCTGCGACGCTACTTTGGACCCTACAAGGTAGTCCGACGTCGTGGTGAACTGGACTATGAGGTCGTGCCCGATGGCTTAACGTCATCCCAACGACGCCGTGCACGACCGAAGTCGTACACGTGGTGCGACTTAAACCTTATTACGCGCGCTGATTAGCTGTGACGCATTGTTAATGTAATTTATTGCATGTACTCTCTCTTATGTTCTGTCTTTAGCATCGGGACGATGCTTTTTCAGAGGGGGGTAGTGACACGTGCGGTTCTTTTGGTTTACGAAGGAAGACGCTATCACTTTCTGTTAAGCGCAACGCAGGCCGCGTTTATCTTGTATGCCACTCTGGAAACGCGTTACGAACGCGTGTATAAAAAAACTGACACGTGGCGGTTCTTTTCGTTTGCGAAGGAAGAGCGCTATCACTTCTGTTAAGCGCAACGCAGGCCGCGGTTTATCTTGTATGCCACTTTGGAACGCGTTACGACGCGTGTATAAAAAGCCGGCGCAGTGCGCCACTGGCGTCTTTTCTTTTTTTCCGTCGGCCGACGACTGTTCACGCCGCTGTTGCTATGAGTTGTGTTTGGGCCCGTTTTGCTGGGCACAAGTTCGCCCAATAAACCGTTCGCCTGACACCGCCCTGACTCCTGCGTGCTTCCTCTCAAGTGCTGCGTGTTTCACAACCTCGTGACAATATCATTGATCCCAGGCTTAATTCGTCTAGTGCGAATGATATGGTGCCAGCATTGTAGTATACTTATAAGTGAGATGGCTGACCCACTCGCGCGAGCATCTCTTGAACTTGCGATTGTGCCAATCATGCCTCTTACAGCTTATGTAACAGCAGCGAGGTTCAGAAAACTTTCCTTCTTGAGGACTTATCGAAGATTAAGATACCGAATCCAGATTTCACGCACCTGTACTTCGCATGGAAAAATAAATGGTGTCCCATGCGTAAATTGGAAGTCTCCGTAAACAAATCACGATGCCATGTACCACCTCTAATTTCTACTTAAACAGGTCTGGTATGATGCCATCACCTCTGTGCTCAAGCTATAATGAACCTGAAATTATTAACCCTTTCCTTCTCCACGCCGCTCTTGTAAAAAGCGAAGAAAAAATTGTTTCGAAATTTTATTCAATCAGTTAGGAATTTCACTTACTTCGACGAATATTTTGTCCTTCCAGGCTGCATCATTAGGACACAGCGACAGGAAGATATGAGAGCTTTCTGCGAATTCTTATGTGACAGAAGAAGATTACCTTGCTGAGTCATTGCTCACCTCGCCATTATTACTAAACAATCTGACATTTATTATTTCATTATTAAACTGTAATGTCTTGACCTTCAGAAGAAATCTATATAATGATTACGCCTCAGTCATTCAAGAAATCCTCTTATTTCTTTACTTTCACTTTTATTTTCACACTGTGCCAAAATAATTCCGTCTTGTCAAAACAAAGTAATCATGTTTCCTTCGCCTAGACAGTCCAAAGTTGTTGACTTACAATAACCGCCGGCTTCTTGGCAAATCTCCTCTAGTGGGTAAGAGCCACAAGACAGGATGAAGTAAGCAAGCAAGCAAGTTGACAATAGTATCTAGAAATACCACTCGGCCAGCTTGATTGATTGATTTATTTGTGGAGTTTAACGTCACAAAACCACCATATGATTATGAGAGACGCCGTTGTGGAGGGCTCCGGAAATTTCGACCACCTGGGGTTCTTTAACGTGCACCCAATCTGAGCACACGTGCCTGCGACATTTCCGCCTCCATCGGAAATGCAGCCACCGTAGCCGGGATACGATCCTTCAACCGGCGGGTCAGCAGCCGAGTACCTTAACCACTAGACCACCGCGGCGGGGCCACTCGGCCAGCTTTCGCTATGACATTGCAGGAATTTCCACGCAGGTCTGGATTTTTTCCTTCCCTTCTCTTTGTTTGTCCTTTTGTTTTTCACCCCCTCCCAATGTATACTCTATAGTTTCTCTACCGTATTTCTTTTCTCTTGTTTCCTTGCTAAATCTCACTGCTTTGGAAATATATCCTTTTCTGTTTCGTTTTTTCTCTAGCTCTCTCATAGCATAGCCATGGCGCACACGTATCAGTACCTAAGCCAGCAGAGAAGAAAAATGTATTGGAAAGTGGGACCCATTTACAAGCAGCCGAGTGGCGGGACCAAAGCGAGGAGCACGTGCTAGCAGAGATAGGGAGATGTGGTGCTGGCAAGCCAGATGCTGAGATAACAAGTGTGCACACGCAAACAACTCGCGAACATGTAACATCACTTTCCCCTTTGAAATGAAAGCGTTGTACTGGCTCAGTGCGTTCTTTTGCTGAAGGGCATAGGGCTTGTTGGCGGACAACGGCATTCATCGAGACTACCGAAATATTAGGTGGCGCTAGTTGCGAAGAACCTCTATCATTCGGGACAAGCTGAGAAGACGTGGAAGCACCAGGTAACATGTTGACAGGTAATTTTGAGTGGTTTGTATTTATTCATAAAAAATCTTTATTGAATCACGTAAAGCGTGTAGTTGTTTTGTTGTTAAGTGATCACTCATAGAGAGGATCAAAAGGGGCAAAATTAGGAACCTCTGTATATGATACGTATCCCCTTTGTTGTTGCTTGTTGTTGTGTGTGTTGTTGTGTGTTGTTGTTGTTTGTGTTGTGTGTTGTTGTGGTTGTTGTGTTGTTGTTGTGGTTGTTTGTTTTGAATGTGCCGGAGGCCTAGCGACAAATAGTTGCTTTCTGGTAAGATGTCCATTGACAGGCTTCACTTTTTGGGTGTCTTGATATATCATTGACGACATGAAGGTGTCAGTAAAGCTCGCACTAGTGGCGTGTATACAACGGCGTTCACGGTACAACTAGCATCGAGATGTTTTAGTGCCATTTGGCATACGAAGCCCAAATGGGATAAGATACCTGTGGTTTAAGCGCGAGGGAAAGAGACCCAGATAATCTTTATTTCTTAACAACTCTTAGCCCAAGTCGTTGCACTCGTAGCCGAGTATCCTGCTTTTCAGATGTGTGCTTTTGTGCGGACCTGCTGTGCGGTTCTTGAGGATTACGATCTTCCGGCACAGTATAGAACGCAACTCGCCTGTTCCCGTGATCCTGCTTTCCTGTACGCTTGCAACAGGTGGTGGCTGGTTGCATTGTTCCAAAACGTGTACCATATAGGCAATGGCATGGTGAATTTTAAAGTAAACTAGAGGTAAGTTGTTTATTTCTCACATACTTAGCATGCTAGTTGCGAGCATTTGTGCTCAGTTTAAAATATATGACGTCACACGGTGATTTTGGCGTGAAATATAAAACCGATACTCTTACATTGATTTTCTCTTCTATTAATAAGCCTGATATAGAGAAATAACATGGTTAATATAACGACATCAGAATACCGCACAATTACTCAATACAAACCAATTTCATGTTTCACTTCAAGTGTCTTGTTTAGTATAAAGCGGTAGCAGGTGCTGGCAGTGATCAGCACGCTAGGAAAGAGAAAATCGTTGTAATTTGCGAACTGTTTCAAGCGTTTCTTATATCAAAAAGAACTGTGATCAATGTGGAAAATAGTTAGTTACTGCTGGTATTGTTATATAATGTGCATAGATATGCGTGGTCTACACAAAGAGTGCTAAGCGCAAAATAACATTGGCGGGATTGTAGTGCCTTCTATAATTTACTATGGTGTTTCAAACAATTCCTGTTGGTCGGGCAATGTGAAGAAGGCTTTATAAATTTTCCCTACTTTCTGCAAAAAAAAAAGGGGGCACTGGTATGATCATCATGCTCTGTCCAGTCTGTCAGCACAATTGGTAACCTCTTATTAGCTATTTTCGTTATTGTGTCGAAAATCCCAGCAGCAATTTCAGTAATAGTGGTCCGCAAGCTTTCGGTAGCGTCGGCGTACTAGGCGTTATAATTGAATAGAGTCAATTGGCTGTTTCTCTGTTTCTGTTAATTATTTCACAGATCTTGGTCAGTTTTGTGTGAAAATTATCCGATGTAGGTTTGTAGATCATCAACAACGCAGTTTCTAATTGTGCGCTTTCATATTGTCGATTGATTTTTGTCCCTTGTGGCTGGCAGTATACTTACATTCATATTTTCTAAGAAGAATGTGGCTTTGAATATCCACAATAAACAGCCATGCTAGTGGAACTTATCTAATTCAATACGTATGCCCAGCCTCAACTTTAAGGCTTTGCAGGATAGCGCAGCTTTTGCACTGCAATATTCAATTTCAAGGCGCTCATGAGATTTTTTCTTCTGATATACTCTACATCGCAATGACTTATTTGTCAGACAACGAACTGTGAAATAAAGTGAAGGTTCAATCTTCTTTTTTGGCGGCAGCAAGCGGGGTCAGGTTCCCAACGAGTTTCACAGCGGTTTTCAGGGAAAACCTGAACCAGCGGTTGTCAAGTTTCGGACTTTCAACTGTGCATGCGAATGATCATCGTCTGCCAGCGGTTTCAGCGGTTTCAGCGGAAAACTGAAACCAGCGGTTCAAGTTTTCGACTTTCAACTGCAGCAGAATGATCATCGCCGCCACCGACCAGTGTTGTGGTCATTCATCCCACCAATAGGAGAAGACCGAACGGAGATGGAACAAATCTGTTCTAGAAATTTTTATACACTTTCAATACAAAAAAAATTGAAACGTTAGGCACTTGAGGTGGTACGATTTTTATTGCTACAAAAAAACAGAAAAGCAGTGCAGGATGGTAGACAGTCCCCTTAAACCCAGCCCCCTCCGACATGGCTTTCATTCATTCATTTTTCTGAACTAATTAGACCGAATGATAGACAAGTGTGCTTGAGATAGGGGGCTTTGATTAAACAAAATAGAGGAAATACAGAAACGGATGAGTCAGGTAATACGAAGCCCCCAAATTTAGCTGCACTGCAACCAAGGCCCACCATGTGTGCGTGCTTACCCAGGCCTTGCGGCCCTCATTTACTGCGGAGCCCTGCACCTCAAATCATACATTATATTAATAATAATAATAATAATAATAATAATAATAATAATAATAATAATAATAATAATAATAATAATAATAATGCGCCGCCTGACACGTAGCCCACCTACTCCTCAAGTGCCCATGCAATACACGTACAGACCTATCGCCTCCGCCGAATGCCTGCGACGCTGTTCAAGAAAACGAACACCTTTTCGAAACGCGGGAGGCCAAGCTTGCCTTGGAGGACCTGGACCAACAACGACCAGGGACTAGGAGGCTGCGAAAGCCAGAGGGTTTCTGGAATGAGGAGACCTCCCACCTACGCTGGACGAGGAACCTACACCACTACAATGTTTCGAAAAATAAACGTTTATTCCTCCTCCTCTTTTCATGGATACATTTCTTGAAGGAAGGCTTCAGGTAAAAGCTGTTCTCCAAAAGAGGCAGCAAGAAAAAGGCCTGCAGCAACCTTTCAGCGCGATGAAAGATTGATTTAGTCATCTGAGCCTTAAACAAACATTTTAGGGAATATCGAGAGGCATTGGTAAAACAGCAATACCTTATGGGATTCCTTTGTCTAGGGGAAAGAACTCTGATGCATGCCTGTTACGGACGAAAATTCATCTACCTATGTCAGGGAGCAAGCAGTACATGCACCGCAGAGCTCGCTTTACTTGAACAGCCACAGCGAAAATACTCCGAATGGCGATATGCACGCACTATCGAATGCTTTTGCATATTTGCATATTTATTCTAACGATCACTTGAGTTTCAACTGCGCACTATGCGCCTAATGAGTTTGAAAGGGTTGACGTTTGGGCAAGTTTTTTGACAGGGGCTCCGGAAGTTTATATAATGTCTGGGGGTGACCCCGACGACGTCTGTGGGCAGAAGTCGCACTCATCGCCTCTCTCTCTCTTTATATATATATATATATATATATATATATATATATATATATATATATATATATATATATATTATATATATATATATAATAATATTATTTTTTCTGGAACAAGTAATTACTGAAGAGAACGAGGCTTTGCATCACAATTATGACGTCACTGCCTGGTTTTCATAATTTTCTCGTGTGCCGGGAGAATACACACGCTATCTAGTTCCCTCTTCTCCCCTCCCAACACCCTCGGGCTTTTTTCCTTGTGTTTTGTGCCTCACCAGGGGTCTATATCGGCCGGATAACGCTTATATCACCTCATGAAGCCACCATAACACGTTTAGGTGAAACATCGAATGCAAAATATGGAACTGTGTTTGCAGAAAGAATGTATCATTGTAGCTTACCAAATCAATGAAGCAGTCATTGATGTCGATGTTATTTGCTCACCTGCTCTCTTCAGACAGTGGGCAAAAATGGGCGTGTGGGGTAACTTTCCCGCTTTGGCGTCTGATGCTCACAGTCAGTTAGGGGCCTTCAAGGTGATGTAACCAGAAATATGAGGTTGAGATAGAATAAAGAAGGATATCGAAGAAAGCGTGCATGTTTCGTTGGGTGTGGGAAGATGACTTATTACGGGTGGATGGCGTAAGCAAAGACCCAGTATCCCTTGATTGCTCTTGCCCAATATTCGGTGCTGCAGCGATGTGGTCTCAAATCTCGTTGCTCTCTGCGAGCTAGAAACCACCAGGATATGCCACTACGTGTGCAAATGGCTGCCAATGCATGACCACGCCTTTCTTGAAGCGTGATGGATGTAGTTACAGGCCTTGAACTTTGTAGAGATCTCACCACGGAAGTAGGATTGCATTTTAGTGAGCGTGGAATTATCCTCGGATTATCGCGGCCGCTCCTTCCGCACATGATGTCTGACAGGAATCGACGAAAAACGATGCCTCATTTTCATCGAGAGCAAGTCACCATATGATATTTGTATACAAACGTATTTATTTTGTGTTTTGACTGAGGGCGATTTCCCCTGCGACAACTGGAGGATAAGTGCGGCTGAGCAGTGAAGGCAAGGCTGGTACAGCCACCTAATCCACCTGTGGAATGCGGCACGCGAAAAAAAAAGCAGTAGGAGGGTGCCAGTGAGCATAAATATACATCGTGACCAATACCATCGAAGTGCCATAGTTGTCTGTGGAACAGTGGCAGAACACGTGTGAAATCCGACGCGACTGCAAAGTTCGTCCGTATAAACGACGTCAACATGACTGGGGTCAAAATATACCTGGCTGCCGCCATCACCACCGCACTCACCGCGAGAAGCAAAATGAAGATGAGTGAAGAAGATACCACGACCAATAGTTCCGGACAAATTGCTACGGGAGTGCGTTTTCTATCACCAAGAGAAATTTGAACAGGTGTTCGTAAATATATCCTTCTACTTTTCGCTACTTTCTTGCTTGCTAATGTCAGTTCATAGTATAGAATGACATGAATGTGTTCGTAATGAGTTGATAGTTCATTACAGTTGACCATGGTCCTATGTACCCTGACGGTTAAAATCGTGCGTAGGTTGAAATAAGCTTACGCTGACCCTTTTGAAAACAGTTACGCCCTACATTCGCGCTATTTCAAACAACCTCAAGAAGATAAGATCAGAACACTGCGTAAACCTCATATTCGCAGCGCGCTCTAAGCTTTCCTTTTTGTGTACCCTTGTTAGATAACAAGACAAGAGAATAGTGTGCGAAAAAAAACATGAGAAGACATGTGTGCTACGGAAGTGGTGTATAAGATCCTATTCAGCTGTACTAACGCCATAAGCCAAACACCGATGTCTTCAAGGCCAAGTAAGAGATGAGTATATAAACTTCGCTGAAGGCTCCAGATCGCGGGGTACCCTCTACTGCGCATTGTGGTTGCACAGTGCATTTCGAGGAAGCAGAGGTCATGGGTCGAGCCAAGTATCGGTGTGAAAAGGAAATTCTCGTGGTGAAACAGACTAATATTTCAGCAGATCTGTGCATCAGTGCGCCTTTGGTGCAACTTGATGATAACGGAAATGAAATTGCTTTAAAGCAAGTGAATAATTTAAGTGTTGAAATGCACCGTCCTTCAAGCTTTCTCTCTAGGTTGTTACTAGTTTTGAAAGTGATTGGGCAATATTGCTGTCATGGTGTCTATTGTGAATGCGTTTCCGCATAAGGTTCCCTGGTAGGAAGCTCGTAATATATTTGTTTACAAGCCAGCGTCTTTTCTGTCCAGTATTGTGTCAGAATGGCCGAGTGGTCTAAGGCGCCAGACTCAAAGGAAACCTTGCCCAGTGACTTTTCTGTCCAGTGTTCTTACTTGCCAACCCAATTTGTGCTCCCCCATACAAGACCTTTTTATTTATCTGATTGCTTTTCGTAGAACTGAACAAAAGCAACGAAAGCAGAAGAGAGCGATAGGGATTCTAAAGTTGTGGCGCTGAGGCGTGCAGCTGCAAGCGCATGTTTCAGCGCCACGACTTTAGGATTTCTCTCGCTCATGACAGAGTGCCTGCCTTTACCTCCTTGAGAACCACTTACGGACGGAGGATGCTTTAAACCAGACCAAAACAATCCGTGCTGTATACGCATACGAATAAGCTCTGAATAGAGTGTTAAGACTCGGGCGTCACAGGCTTTCAGAAAATAATGCTTCCTTATTGGGAGAAAAGCAGCACTCCTTTTAATAGTCAAAGGAGGCTCTAGCCACACTGCTGGCTGCAGAAGAAACAGCCATCGAAGGGACATGTTTGAACATCCTTGAGCGTGGAACCTACCGCACTGGTTTTTATAGTGTGGGGATGACAGCCTTTACGGGGCTCCCGGTTCCGCAGCCCCTGTGCTTTGAATATCTTGCGATATACGTGTATGTCGCCTGTTCGCCTAATATATGTCATATATATTGAGTGTCAGTATTCTTTCAAAAACAGGCAATTGTTATTGAAAGTGGTCTAGCTTGTGACATCATTCGGTGATGATGAATGACCACCCTATTTATTTGATTTGATTAAAAAAACCGTAGAGATGGCACGCACATTGTTCAGTTTACTGGGAATCAGCGGTGAGTGAATATTTCAAGTTTAAAGTATCTTTGAAATCATGTTTGCTATTTAAATCGATTTAATACATTCAAACAAGTAATCGAACTTCCCGAACACAAATTCAGTCAACCTCCAATTGGCAGGGGTCGTTTTAAATGTTTTTGTTCTTCACCTCTTTTTTTTTTGCGCACTGCTGCAAAGGTGCTTTTCAAGTTCTCTGAAGGTCGTAAAGATATTGGCTTAAAAAAATGCTGGTTTTAAGAAAAAGACAATCGACGCCGCAGAACAAGAGGTTCAATTATTGCTGTTTTGGACCCGAAATTTGGAGACAAAGGCAGAAAAATTGGATGCTGAAGATTTTAGCACATGAAATTATGGATGTCAATATAAACACAATTATTAAGTCTATATCAACAAGGTAGATTTGGCACTTTGAATTGCGACACCATATTGGTTGCACCAAATCACGCAAACAAATAAAACATGGTCTCTGCATTGCCTAATTCTTGATAACACAACATAGACCGCCATCCCTCCAGCACTTCATAACCTAGCCAAAAGAAACACTTTCGGATTTTTATTTCGTGGAACAGTGCTCATTGATCTTCGGTGGCATTTTTTTTCTGTAATATCACTTAGATCTATTTTGAAATGTAAAGCAAATATTCGACACCTTTTGAAAAAATATTCGATTTGGTTCGCACTCAAATTATGTCATTGGTATCAACTCAGATTCGGAAATTTTTCTGATAGCACAGCTATGCTAGGAAGTTTTACTGGTGGCCGAGAAATGGTTGTAAGTATTTTATTACGACCGGTATTTCACTCTATTTTAATAGCGTACTCATGATAATCAGTTGTTATTAGTCGCATTTGATTAGACAATTTTACATGACGTCGTAAGGGAACTTTGCAGATGGTGTCCGGAATGTTGTTTGAAGAAATACCATATTGCATGAACTCACAATAGCAATTGAATGAGTTTGTGTACGTGGGTGAAAACAGTTTAGACCAGTCCTTCGTGCGAGTGATATGATTTGTTGCCCATCTGAATGGTAAATTGTTTGGTATGTCATTTCTATTGTCAAGAACTATGTTTCCTTGGCGCTTTCTCAAATAAACACCGTGAATTGGTGGGATGGTATCAAAACCAATCGTATTTGTTGAACATCAAATGGCTTTCCTGCGGTAGTAACGCGTGCGATGAGCTATCAGGCATATAACACTTTAGGGGCCCGGCCCCTCGGCATCTCCAGAAATAACGGTGTATTGTGTAGTGGAGTGAGGTAGTCTTGCTATCATTCCGTCACCACGTCATAAGGGCGACTAATTTGTGACGCAATTGTGACGTGATCATTACGTGACGCAGCATCATAAAGGCTCTAGGCTCGTGGGCGTCTATTGTAGTCAAGGCCTGTCATGTTGTCACGTTCAATCATAAATATGAGTATGAGCTACAAAATCTGGCTCACTCCCACTACTTGCTACCGGTGCACTAAAATTTAATAAGCACGCAGTTTAGAAGAATCATCTGGATGAGCCTTTCAGATTCAGTAGCATGATACGTGATGGGCTATGGTTTGAAAGTGCGTCTCACTTTTGTGTTTTGTATTAATAGCTCAGTCGACCATCCACCTTCCACGGTACAGTGATACCGCTATTGTCTTCGGGAACAATTACGCCAATAAATACACCTCATGAGTACGCCTACAGTTCCATATCCATGATCGCATGTCACTTGTGCACGTTGTCACAGAATGTAAAAATATAAACTCAGTGTCCTCGTAACTTACTGGCCGACTGTTCCACTACAGTCTGCCAAGTGTGCAAGATAAAAACTTCGTGTGCTTTTTCTGGATAGTAGAATCGTAATGAACATGATAAAAACATGCGAGACTCAACATTTCACATTCTTTCTCTATGTTGTAGAGTAACGACGAACATAGCGGTCATTTTTGTACGTTAAAGCAGCAGCTTTGGTAATGTTGTGGTGCGCGGCCGAAAACGAAGATTTTCGAATCAATGCTGGCATTCAATATTCGCTGACAGTGCAGCAGGTATTCATGATTTGCCGTGACGTAAGTTACATAAAATTTGAAAATATATCCAACTTACCACTTATTTATTTCTTTATTTACTTACTTATTCAAAATACCTTACAGGCCCACTGAAGGGCATTGAGTAAGGGGGGCATCAGTATACACACGAAATAACGATAAAAGAGAAAAGCAGACAAAAATATATAAATATATAAAAGATTACAAAAATCAAGGTGCAACAGCGTTATACAATACTAGAGTGCAACGAAATCAGGTTTTCACGAAAAATTTCACGGTTACAAATAGATACAACATGATCCGGAAGACCATTCCAATATGCAATGGCTTTCAATGACTTCCTGAAATATCTCAATTCAAACAACAGAGAAGTTCAAAACAAGATGAAAGCTTGAAATTAGGAGAAAACTTTCATCCACAAATGTTGCTGGATCCAACGTTTTGTAAATGCGACTCGTATTTGTTAAGATAGCAACTACCTGCCTTAGCAGCATGTATGCGTAAGCTTTCCACGATAGGTTGACATACCAATCTTCGTGAATATTCCACTGTGTGTGTGTGTGTGTGTGTGTGTGTGTGTGTGTGTGTGTGTGTGTGTGCGTGTGTGTGTGTGCGTGTTTGTATGTGTGTGTGTGTGTGTGTGTGTGTGTGTGTGTGTGTGTGTGTGTGTGTGTGTGTGTGTGTGTGTGTGTGTGTGTGTGTGTGTGTGTGTGTGTGTGTGTGTGTGTGTGTGTGTGTGTGTGTGTGTGTGTGTGTGTGTGTGTGTGTGTGTGTGTGTGTGTGTGTGTGTGTGTTTCATTTTGCACGTGTTCTCTCTTCTCCAGTTTTGTGACAGGGAAATGGCATGCAAAGGGTACGCATACACGCCGCTTAGAGGGGTAGTTAGCGCCAGGACGGGGACAAGTCCTCCTTTTGAAACGCTGGGGACAGTGACGTTCTCTGTTGTAACATTTCTCATTGCTTCAACAAGATATTGCGTAACTTACCGCACAAACCAGCCTCTGGTTCAACGTACAATGCTTGGGGAGTGAGTAGACGCTTACCAACATACAGCTGCACACGCCAGCCACCCTTGTCCATTTTGAGTACGCTGAGAGCCTTGTCTCCCACTCCGATCGTAAGCAGCAAAAACTAAAACGAAATTCCATGGCATTTTGACATTCCCTTGCATCATACCAATTAGTATGATACGCCTGAGAAAGAGTCTGTTTTTTATTTTCTCATTTTTTTCTGATACTGTCCCCTCGTAGCTCACGTGTGTAAAAGAGACAGCGATGTGACAGCCGCGGATTTATCCATCCCTGCATTCCTGTCAGAGGTGCGCATGTGACCTCACTCTGTGAGTTAACACGGCGCCTAGACAGCCTCCGACAGACCACGGTAAGTATAGGCATGATTACTAGCTCACTGTGTTCGCACGTTTACTAGGCTCGACAAATTGTATTTAAATGTGTGGAATTGTATTACCCCAGGGACCTCATGACCGACGTTAGTTACAAACAGAACAATGTTTTCACATATTGTCTAGTAGTGTATAAATAAAAAACACAGAAATAGCCTGCCCAAAGTGGTTTTCATATGGGCACAGCATCAACTTACGTGGATATTTGCGCCCCGAGAGTTTGCCTACGGTGAGTAGGCAGCGACATAACTCAAGTGAAGGTAACGATAACGTGTGTCGCGTTCTGCCTATAAATGGAGTGCTTGAGTTTTGGTTTTTTTTTATTTTAATAATGTTTTGTGAATTGGCACCACGCGTGAAAGATAATAAATATCCAAGAACAATATTGAACGCCCTTTCATACATCCGATTGTTGCCCTGACAACAAATTTTGATTGTTTTCAACAGGTGAAGTTTTGACGCATAGTGCTGTTCGTCTAGAATGAACGTTTCTGTTTAATAATTCTGCTAAACAGCCTTCTTTAGGAATCTTTCTTAGAAGCCTGTTCAGCTCTTTCTTGCAAGGAAAGTGATATTCATTTCGTAAAACGAGTGTTTGAATGTCTCAGAATAGTCAACAAAAACTAATTGTTTTTATTTGGCAGCTACTACTTAATCAGACCCAGTAAATTCACGATAAAAGCAGACCCCGTAACGCATGACGTAATTCGAAGTCAAATAGCTGATTGTGTTATGGAATACAAGGACGCTTTTGTTTCCGCACTCACTCTGTCAGGCTTCGCTTTGGGCGTACAGGTTACGATGTCGGGAGCTGTACACCTACGTCGTGTTACCGTGGACACCTGCTGGAGCGTTCCGGTTCTGGCTGCTCTAATGACTCTGCTGGTCTGCATGCCGTCATCGTACATGGGCCTTGTGTTTGTCTATGTCGTGGAAGACTATGGTGTGAGCCGCGCTTTGGCATCGTGGACGCAAACCGGGCTCTTCGTTGCGGTGCACCTCTCAGGCAAGTCAACTGACTTGACCAGGCTTCCCGGACAATGTGCAGCAGTCTTGGTATCGCGTGATGGTAAAACAATCACAATACCAAGGTAGTTTTAGTGAGGCAGGTATTGTTATTAACGTCAACACGTGCCTCTGTTTTTAGTGCTCCACACAGCACAGACACCATCTGTCTGTGCTGCGGGAGCACTATGTTTTCAAAAATTTTCTTTCCTGTCTGCATTGGTACACTTCAAGTGATTTGTGTTGCTAGTTCGCTATAGCCCAAACTACGAAACTATGTGAAGAAAACAAAAAATCAATAACAAGTACTGGCGACATAATTATCCCTATGCAACTGATAATGACCTGAGCTATCCATAAAAATATTTTCGTTACAACCTTTTCACTACTGTTTGAAAGCATGTTTATGAGTTAATAAAGCGATTCTAAGAGCTAACTTTGTAAACTGGAGGTTTCGTACAGATCAAATGACACGTTCAACGGATGGATTGTGCATCTTTTGTAATACACATTTTTTTTGTTCCTTTATGTAGCATGATGGCTTAAGACGAGTATGCTTATTTCACGATGGACTAGCGTAAACAGGCGTTCTTAAAGGGCCAGTGGAAAAGCTGTAATAGTTTGAAAACCTACTGTACAAAATCAATCACCAGGAGCTGTTGCACTATATCAATAATACAAGCCAATACTATGATTACTATCACTGTTAACTGCTACTTTTCACCAACACTGTACAGTAGAGCCAAATAATACTTCTTCAGAGGATAAAGGGCACCATCGGAGGTCAAGGGATAACCTGAACTAGCCATGCAATCTTGTGCATAAAATAGTAAACTCTAAACTGTTCTTTAAATCAGCTAAAGGTAGTTTTTGTAGAAGTAGTGACGAGTCGTAGAAAATAAATGAAGTCAGACTTCGTTGAATACTACTGCGTAATGAACAACGAGTAGTAGTGCGTAATGAATTGTACTGCGTAAATGCTCCAACACAGATTTTGACGTTCAATGGACAACTTCACTTTGATAGACAAAAACCGAAAAGCGGCTCTTGCTCTACAGCACAACAATAAACAGCTACTTGCGCAAACTAAGTTTTAAAAAATTAATTACACATAAAAAACTAACGTAGTGTACTCAGCGCTATAGGTAAATTGTATACTCCGACGTTGTGTACATAAGTTTTGGCATGCTTCAAATATACCTAGAAATATATATTGGCTTTCTTTATGAAGATACAGGAGAGTATTTGGCAGAAAGTGATACGTGTCATGTATGAATGCCATTTTAATGGCTTTGTATATACAATCAGGTTGAGACGCGTCTGTTCCCAATCTATTTTGCTAAAACAATTAGTGGCTCAGAACAATGAGCATGAGTTCCCATCAGTCAAAAAGCTTTAATAAAGTTGTTTAAGGAAAAATAATTCTTTAAGGAAAAAGACACCGTTGACAAAAATGAAAAAGCTGGAATAATATAAAAAAAGAATAAACACATCAAATGGGAATTCGGAATAAGTTAAACTAAGCTCGAATAAAGAATTTCACTTTGGCAACACAGTCGTCAATATATGCACGGCTGTAAACCTTTTTGGGTGATTAGGGTCAGTAATCACAATAGCATGGAATTTCGCAATAGCGTAAAAAGTTTTTAGCTCAACGTAGTAAAAGCTTCGGTAGACGTATTTGGGCGATCTAGATCGACTGTCATGCTCATCGTTGTAACTACTATTAAAGTAACCTTCGCGAACACACTCGTGTGTACAATCTGAAAACTAAAGGACTTCACCGGGTGTGCCCTGAAATGCAGGTACATGTCACAACACTCGGCCAGTGAACTCATAAAAGTGGCCGCTGTCTTGTGTTAAACGCGTGGTTTGTTTGCATTTGTCCCTTCCAACTTGTCAGTAAAAGTAGGCAAATGATTGGCATGCACATTCTCGTGAAGCACATTGACCTAGCTGCGAAAAAAAAAGCATTCACGAATGTGCTTCAAAACAAAGGTACTTGTCTGCAGGTCTGCATGCGCGAGTGTTGGGAAATGAACAATCATTTGATGCTGATGTCTGCAAGGTAATGAAAAGGGAGAATTGAGCACTCGAGAGAAAATGACGGGGTAACGACAACAACGCAGTAATGTAAGCTCTGGCGTATCTCAAATTCACTAACCAAGCGACTGAGACTTCGTTTGAGAGGTTGTGACTGTGCCCTAAAAAGCAGCTATGATAGGACAAGGTTCCCGTGCAGGACGTGCGAGCAGGTTGTCACTGGAATATTAGCTGACACGCTCTGCTGAACCACCGGGAAGAAATAATTGAACACGCACACCTGATGGGAATGTAAGTCCCCTTTCTTACTCTCTTTTTAGGGCTTCTGGTGGGCGCACTTCAGCAGCGAATTTCTCCCCCTAGGATTGCCCTGTTGAGCGGGTTGGTGGCTTCCGCCGGCTTGATTGCATCATCATTTACAAAAGACATAATACTGGTGGCCTTGACACTTGGTATTTTATATGGTAATAAATCATTTGTCTCTTTTATTCTGTGTTCAAGAGAATAGGCGGTTTTTTGGCCAAAAGTCGTTATCTGAAAATTCACACTGTATACTCGGAACTAAGAATACCTGTAATGATTTGCGGTTGCTGATATGAACAAGATTAATGTAAATGATGTCTCCTGAATTTCGTTTAAAAAATGCGTTTGGCATTTTTACCGAAGCGTTTCGTGGTTGTGGTGTACTATTATAACTAAACCAACCAGTAGAAACATGTTGACTTACCGCTGAAGTATGTGCGTAACATTAGCAATTAAATATCTTTGCAGGTTGTAATAAATTGGTGTTCTAGATTGCATGATAAAAAAACAATTTCTGAAAAAGTCAACTTGCTATCACTGTGTTCTAACCGATGGTCTGGATGACAAGCAACGCTTATCATCCAGACCATCTTGATGATAAGCGTTGTAACAAGTCCTGCTCAATTAAAGACACGAATGAACTTCTGATATTATTGTGTGTCGTGGAAAAAAACCACATCTCAATAATGTTTCATTTGCTGACATCCAATTTCTGTATTTATTTCTTGCAGGTCTTGGCATGGGAATGTTCCTCATGTCAGTCTCTATTTACAATATCATGCTTTTTGAGAAGTACAAGGGCACTGCCATGTCAATGACATTTCTTGCCTGGGGCATCGCTGGACTCTACGGACCCGTTTTGCTGTACAAGCTTCGAGAAAGTTACGCCTTGCAAGGCGGCTTACTGATATGTGGAGGGCTACTTTTAAATTCTGTTCCCCTGGCACTGCTTCTCAATAACCCTCCCGGCACAGACTTTAGCAACCTCAAATACGCTATCAGCAACTGTTTATATCGGAGGACTGCAGTTTCCGCGCGATCAGTCAAGGCAACAGCCCTTCCACTTGATGAGCCATCTGACTTGGCAGTAACCAGTGTTCCTGAAAAAATGCAGAGTGAGGTGGACGTACATTGCCAGGATCTTCCGGCTACAGGCAGCTTGCACAGAACTGACATTGAATACACCGCTACAGACAGACTAGGCAGCAAAATCGAGGCTGAAGATTGTTCGGTCTTTGTCACTACGTCACAGAATGGCTCTCCTTCGCGTAGCCGCTTGCAGTCTTTGCTGGAACTGCTGCGAACGCCAGCGTTCTACGTATTTCTCGCCACAACAGTGGTGAGTGAGTATTCTCTGGTTTCCATCGGTACTACTATCGTGGATTACGCTAAAGACAAGGTCATCGAGCTCTCCGTAGCGACGCAACTGATGATCTTCGGAGCAGTAGGACACATACTGGCGCGCTTAACTATCGTGCCATTGTCCGACTGCGCGAAAGGCAGCCGCTTGCCGATGTACGCTGGCGCCTTTGCTTGTGAAGCTGTATCCGCTGCGGCCATGCCACACGTATGCTCAATCGCCGCCCTTACCGTACTGCGCGTCCTAGAGTCTCTAGCGCAGGGCTTTATCCTCTCTGTCCGCACTATCCTGTTGGCACAGTATTTGGGCATCGAAAGAGTAGCCGCCTGCTCTGGCGTCTTCGGACTCGCCATGATTCCAGTGTCCCTCAGCAGCCCAGCTATACTCGGTAAGCGTCTGCTTCCGCAAATACCACTACGAATATGATGAAAACAATGAGTTTCACTTCCTTTGCATTCGAAATGTTTCCCATGAACGACTGACCGCCAGTGTATCAAGCACAGCTTGAAAGGTAGTGGAAATACAGAAGCGGGAAGTTTGGTAGTACACAATAAAAGACCAAGCGCCATCAGTAAATTGCTTTGCTAAAGAATTAAGAGTGAAAAAAACTGCAATAAGTGTCTATTCACCTTTGCACTGAATGCCTACAAACCATTGGTAACACGAGTTTATTGTTTTTACTTTTCACGGTTTGCTTAGAAATGATGAATAGAAAACTTTCACTCAAACAAAAAATAAGTGCAGCTTACACTGAGCCGTGCAAGGATGAGTTACGTCAAAGCTAGTGGGTACCTAGCTGGTTTGGTCATTCAGTGGCCTTTCACCTCCCTTTATCGTCCTATACTGTGCATGGCAGGTAGATTGCCACAATCTCTCAGGAGGAAGGTATATAACAGCTGCATCTTGCCGGTACTTAGCTACGGAGCAGAAACCTGGAAACTTACAAAAAGGGTTCAGCTTAAATTGTGGACGACGCAGCGAGCTAAGGAAAGAAAAACGGTTGGTGTAAATTTAAGAAACAAGAAAAGAGCACAGTGGACTAGGGAACAAACGGGGGTTAATGATATCATAGTTGAAATAAAGAAGAGGAAATGGACATGGGCTGGGGAATGTAGCGCGTAGACAGGATAACCGATGGTCGTTAAGGGTAACTAACTGGATTCCCAGAGAAGGAAAGTGGGTTAGGGGGAGACAGAAGTTTAGGTGGGCAGATGAGATTAAGATGTTTGTGGGTGTCAATTGGCAGCAGCAAGCGCAGGACCGAGTTAACTGGCGGAACATGGGAGAGGTTTTTGTCCTGCAGTGGACGTAGTCTGGCTGATGATAATGATGATGATGATGATGATGATGATGATGACTATGCATGGCTATTTATCCTCTTTTTTCTTCTACCTCTTTTCCCCATCGCTTTCTATTTTTTGTCTTTTTGTGTTTACTTTTGCACTTCTCTTACTTTTTCCGTAATTTTCTGTAGGTATGTTGCTGTCTCTCCGCTGTCTGATTGTGTAATTATGTACCCTTCTGTAATTTCCTGTATTTTTCTTGCTACTGTTCTCCTCCTTTCTATATCCTGGTTTCCCTTTCTCTTTGTGTGTTACTCGCCTTCCCCTCCTTGTCACCCGTACATCTCTCCTGCCCACCATCACTTCTCTTTCCTAACACATTGCCATGCAATGCTGTACAAGGCTATGCTATGCTGTGTCTGGATAGCCGAATTTTCACGACGCTCCAGGTGTGTGAGGATATAGAAAACGTTCTCTTAAAAATTCGAATAACGTTTGATTTCATTCAGTACTACAATCGAATGGTGCACATCAGAACTGCCGAATACTTTTAATTATTGTTCAAATAATACGCACGCACAATATCGAAAGAACGATTCGTAGGAAATGGGAGGGTTAATTTTTTATCACCGCATTGCTATGTCTCTTGCAACCCAATGTTTTATAAGACTATTGACGCCATGTTAGTGTAAGAATGAAGGTGTTTTTGCTTAGATTTCTAGTGTAGATAAAGCGGCAGTCATCAGTTGGCTATTTTGATTGTGACATTGATGATGATGTGGATTCATCAAAATTTTTGACTTTTTATGTGTCAGTTTCATTTAAAGCAAGTGAGAAAGTGTCAACTTGAATATTAGTCAGAGCTGCATTTCAACCACGCGTGAACAGTAGTTGATGTTGCGTAAGGACTTGCTTAAGCTTACGCAGGTGTGGCATACTTTTACCATATAAGCACAGGCAATGCTTTGTTGGGAAGGGTTCTGAATATTTTAGTGAAATGAAATATTATTATATTCTTGTGCAATTTAGAAAATAGTATAAAGATCATTCTTGTTCTGGTTGGAAAATGTTCGCCTAAATATTCGAAAACGATCGCAAATATTTGAACATTGTTTATACTCTAATCGCTTCCATTTTTATTCAATTTGGTTCTCAACACTATTATTTCCAGTCCCCGACAACGTTCGCCACAGGGTCATGCGTACTCGAGTTCTCATTTCGCCTCTTGCTAAAAATGTTCATCTTTAAGACATTAACGCTTACTGTTTCTTTTGTATGTGTCCCTATATATCTCTCTCGCTGTCTCTCTACACTTGTTTTCTCACCCATCCAAGTTATTTCATCCCACGCCAGACCACCAACGCACCTGCTTTCGGTGCGTAGCAATAATGGAAGCAAGAGACGAGAAGAGCACGCGATAGTTTATTATAGTGACAATCAATTATTTATTGCTCATTCAGTAGGAAGTAATTCATCAAATTGTTTCTCAAGAATAATTTACCAAAAATCAATATTTCTATCATTAGTTTTGCTAGTACTTAAACATATATAATCCGCATATTGTTAAGCTACCCGATTCTTGGCCGATTCCCTAGGGTGGGTGTGAGCCACAAATTTAGGACCTACACCTACAACTACATCTACAACTTGTTCTGTATGGCACATGGCACACCTCGAGCATGACACCTCTGTCTGCGAACACTAGAGTCATCAGTGGAGTGATCACTCCTGACATCACTAGAGATTGTTTCTCTTCGATTAACTTATGCGAGGTGTAACAATTTAGATATGGAAAGTATTATTCGAACAAAAAGACATAGCTTCTGCTTGTATAGGTTAGGGAAAATTTGAGAGCAGTAGTAGTGAAAGTTGGGCTAGTTTGGCGGTTCATAATTGGGTAGTAAAAAGTCCATGTTTGTGCGTTGTTGTCACTTCCTAAGGAAGAGCAGTTGTCTTCATTTTCGGGTTTTCTTGCTCTTAAAATCCTACGAGCGATATTATTCGCCCCTGTTGTTGTATCATTGAAATTGCAGTTTGTATTGTCATTCTTCAGCGTAGCGCCTTACAGAGTTACTTTTTTATCATAATAAAACAAAATTGAAACCTGTTTTTGCGCGAGGAAGCTAGGCTGACGTAGGAATAAGCTCGCAATGGGATCTGCTGGTAGCTGTGAATAGCTGCTGTGCTAGTAACGTTCGCAATACTTCTTGAAGTACATGTCAAAAAAAAATATGGTACTGGCTGTTTCGGCATGAAGAAGTAAAATACATTTTCAAATAAGAAGAACAAATTTAAATATCTTAGTAATGATGCGCTAAGCCAGGCATATACGGTAACCTGTTCACAATGCTTCTTTTCAGGGTTTTTCCGTGACATCATTGGATCATACGACCCCTTCTACCACATGATGGGTGCCCTCAATGCAACCATGGCTGGCTTGTTATTCATGTTCTTCCTTTACGACTGGAGGCACGCGAGGAAACCATGATTGAAGCAGTGTGGTCACACCGATTGATAGACTAGCAACAAATAGCTGTTGGTCGTACATTGTATCGCCTACAAGCAGTTAAACGCTCAAGATCTCACATTTGAGGCTTGTACCTTGCCATTATCAGCCATTTTTTTTAATTTAAGAAGGCGAGGAGATTTTAGGGGAATGGGATAACTTATGTAAGGAAATTGTACGACAATACTTTAAAATATAATGTTAAGATATTCCAATTTCGTTTCTGAAGTTTGAATATCAGGCATAAGCATGTCACAATCAAGATACACTACTTCTCATCAGATGGTTTATGTAAAAACATTCATCGCAAGATCAAAGCTGCCATAAAAACATGTTTTAGAGGCAAAGCGATGCATGACGTAGAGTATCTTTCAAGCAAATGGCAATTGCAATACAGTAGAAGTATTTCGTATAGTTGTATAAGTACCTGCTACTCTGCCGTACTTCACCTTGATGTGGTCCTTTATAACCTCCTATGACATACTATGTTACCATATGGCACTATTTATCAGACAGTTGTGTTTAACTATTGAGTTCATAAGAAAGTGCAGACAGAGAGACAAGTAACTTTAATTAACTCCTGATGGACTAGCCGTGAGTAAAGTAAATCATTCATATCAACCTAACTTTTGTTATTCAGTGCGCCTAAACATAACACCATTGAAATATAAATAATCCTACGTTTCAGAAGGTATATCACACTAAGTTCGACGCAACTAGCACACTGGGAACCATACAGCTTGCATTAAGCTTACTGATGTTTTTGGCTTTTTGTTTGAGCAGTAGTGCGCCGGTGACCTTTAAGAAATTAACCTCTTCACGTGAGCGGCAAACATGTCCTTCTTCCACGGCGCAAAACTGCGCCTCCGAGTCAATGTATATAAACAGAAGGGAACACTGCTTTTGAATTATAGAGCAAAGGAACTAGGCTGAACAATACAAATATTGATGAGCCGCTAATATTGATTGAGTTGAAGATAGCGTGCCAGTTTCCATCAGCGCCCGATAAATCGCATTGCCGTATGAACGTGAATCATTGCAATTTAGACTAGTCAAGTGTCATAAAAAGTTTTTGTTCACCAGCGTTGATAGGTACCCTCACAAGCCGATGTTTAACATGATTTTGAATAAAATAATGTTTATAGTGTTTAAGCGTATTTACTCATTAGTTAAAATGTGGCCTCATGATTTCTAAAGAAGGTCAATAATTGTACTGTTCTCGAATTTTTTAAATAATGAAAGTGTTCCATGGATGGATGAAAAACTTTTATTGGGGTCCTCAAGGATTCTACCCCCGTTTTATAGGGGTAGGATCGCGAGCCGCTACCACGTAGGGACAGGGAGGCCCAGCCTCACCACCGCATCGTGGGCCTTCTCGACAGCCTTGAGTTGTTGTATGAGAACCGGACTCGTGAGCATTAAATGAAAGGAGCTTTCGAAAAATTCTTCAGTTTTTCTTTGTAATGAGTGGCACCTCCGGCGCATGTGGGTAAAATCACTGCGATTGTGGCAGTCCGGACGAAGTTCTGAAGTATCGGAGTAATGGCTATAGGTTACGAGGCTAGGGTATGTTCCCGTCTGAAGCATGCGAAAAAAGATTGGCTGTGGCCTAGACAACTTTTCGTGTGGCAATGCGAAGGACCAAGGGCCTAATTGATAGTGCTTCGTTATCTCGTTGAAGGTAGTCAAAATGTCCCTAAAATGAAGGTTGGGGGCTGATTCCTCTGTCTGAGAAGCACATGTTCCGGCGCGGTAAGTGAAGCCTCGCGCCTTAGAGTGGGCTAGCTCGTTGACATTAGGAAGGCCCCCGACCTTCAAGTCAAGGTGAGCAGGGAATTAAATAAAGGTGTGGTGGGTGAGTTTCTTGTGAGCGAGAGTTCTAAAAACTTCCTTGAACACGGAGTTAAATGCGAAGGCTCTATAGCAGCGCATGATAAAAATAGAAGCCATGTCACTAGGAAGACTGCACTGTCCACGTGCGATAACTACTAGCCCACTACCGGTGTTCTTTCACAAGTAAACGTTTTAGTAGGCCTGATATCGACCGTGGTTTTTTTTTTCTTTCTCTCCAGCAGGCAGCAGTTGCATCTCGCACTGCATCGAACTGGTAAGTCACCCTTGTACAATGTCAATGAAGTGCTCCAGTAAATAAAGAGCAGTGTTGCTCGTTCGCATTCAATACGTCATCATTGGGCCGACTTTTACGAAGTCTAGTAAGTTCAACAAGGTTGTCCTGTCACCACTTCTTTAGTTATTCATGAAAGAGATTACTGCGGTCCGACCAAGTTCGTGTCACATTGCATGTTTCAAGTATACTACAAGTTGGCTGTGTATGACATAATTTACAAATTTGTAGACACTCATCTTATCCATGGAAACCTAATCCCTCCCACCGCTATGCACTCCACTACAAATAATTTGCACTTTCTTTAATATAGGGGCTGTAACTTACGCTCTAAAGTAGCCTATAGGCAAGAACAAGTCGGGTAGGACCGTTTATTTTATCTACAATCCACCGCCAAGGTCACTCAAAAATTTACAAGACAAACGCTTTTTTTTCGCATACATACATCAGCAAAAAGACACAGTGTGTTGTTGTAAAATACCACACGGTATTACACTACAAATAAAAACAGAAACAAACCGACATTTAGAGATTTACTATGCGGAGTTTGAAAACATCGTACACCACGGGAAAAAGTACGCGATTTTTTTGTAGATAAAGCTACAGTTTCCATTTACATGTCGACTTATTTTCTTTTTCTTATCACCGTAGCAGCCATGTGTAGAGGCGAAGGCGGCCCACCGTTACCGTGAGCTGCACTTTTTTTTTTCAATCTGTGCGTGCTGTTTTCGTCCACTGGTGATGCTAATAAATGAAAAACTGGAAGCAACAGCTGGGAAAGTCACGAGGGTCTCACGCACAAGCATGTAACCCCAAGAGCTCCTTCATTGGTAGACAGTGTAGGAGCGGCGGTCACGAGCGCATCTATTGTTTCACCATATATTGCGCCTATTGTAGCGCACAACCACATATTATAGCGCACCAACTAAGTGTCATATATTGCTTATGATGGTCGCGGGTGCACTCTGGGCCCGCGGCAGCCGCTGGAAGCAGGCAGTTGGAAACGAGGCTTAAAGAGACAAACAAGGTTCCTGGTCTGGCTCCATGTTTTTCTTGCGGTATGCTGGGCAGAGCAGCCTCGAAACCATGCATCAGTGAGCAATATATTTGGGTTAAAGATCTTGCTCAAGAATAAGAAGCACATGCATAAGAGTTTCACGCTTCTGTGGTAAAATAACGAAGAATGGACGTCAAGATTGATGCACCACATATCTCTTAGTCCTTTGAGTGTTCTCCTTTTATGACCCCATAGACGCCATTCAGCAAGTTTTTGTCATTGTGGCGATACGCAAGGAATCTCCTGTGAAGGACTCCGAAAGAAAATAAGCGAAAAAAAAAGAAAGAGATGATATAACTAAAGTGATAATGAAGCTGACAGCTTCAGTTATGTTGGAGACTCAGGGTAGAGCTGCAGCATTGCTTTAACGCTGCAGCAGTGCCATGCGGCACATCTGCTGCGAAATGTGCACTTTCCGGCAAGTTTCGTTCTATGTGGCGCCATAAACATCGTAATCTCAGTGCCAGTCATAACGGACACATTTTATGTAAAGCAGTCCGAGAAGGAGCCGCAAACGTCTCATTTTTTTGTGTTCTTGTTTGGTGTTCTGAGCTCGTGCCCGTGTACTTTTTCTTAATAATTGGTTTATACCTGAATTACTCAATCGAGTGGTAGGTTTTGTAGAACGAGTGTTTAAATCAGCGTTATCTTTCGATTTTGTCATCATTGTACATTGATAGTGTCTGTACTCATTGACTGATTGTTTATGTATTTTTTCATCTCTCTTCAAAAATTTTTGTGTTTCGTTTAATTATGTGCTACTCTTCCCCTAAATCTACTGTATGTGCGTTGAGGGCACTTCAAATATATAAATAATTATAATGAAATTGGAGCTTCTGGGCACCTGAAAACGATTGCCCCTAGTGCATGCAGTGCTGTACTATACGAGAGAAAGATTGGTCGGAGTGTGCCAGTAAGTATCTGATAGAATATACGAACGAGCTTCGATATGACCTTATACAGTGGTCAGTCTTTCTTAAACGGCTCACCACCAAGCATATATGACCAACTTGGGGAAGTTCCTAATTATTCATAATCTGCCTGAGTTTTCTAAGGTCACATTGAGAAATGCACACATTTGATAGTTAAGATGGCTTATCATAAACATGTTCAAGCACGAAAAAATAACTAGTGTTGTCTGAATTAGTTTAATAAGTGCATGCATGCCACTAAATAAAGTATATGGCGAGTGGTACATAATGCGTCCTTAAAACCGAACAGTTAACTGTCAACACAAGTCTTCTGGCCTAGATTGTTCTTGTTCTTCGGGTGCCTATCTATCTATCTATCTATCTATCTATTTATGTATCTACCTATCTCTATATCTATCTATCTATCATCCTACACCAAGGTGTTCTCGTGATTATCTGATCATCGCATAAATAACGTGGAAATGCCTTTATACACGTCATCAACCCTTTCTTGCAGACGCGAATCGCCCATTCCTGTGTACCACCGTCCGAGGTATAGGACTATGCACCTGATGCCAATGACAGTTTATATCGACCTAGGAAGGGTGAAAACAGACCTAAGTAATTTGAGGGCGAGTGTTAAAAAAACTGCTATAGACAGCGTTTTCCCGACAACCACAACAAATAAATGTCATGGTCCCCGCAGAAATCAAGCCCAAGCTTTATGTGGCACATTAACTATTGCACTACAACACCACGCCAGGTCTCACCGCTGTTTTCGAAAAAGACCCTATGCAGGCTTTTTTTAAATAGAAAATAAACAAAGAAGTTTTTGGCACTGTTGCTTGTTGACGGCTACCCCTTTCCACTTAGATGGTACACATAAAAGTATAAAAAAACAATAGCATATATTCATATATACAGTCCTACATGGGTGAGAGCAAAAGTTCTCCTATTTGGGCATAACAAACACATAGACGACACGCTCACTTTTAACTTTTGTCCGCTCAGTATTCGTCACAAATCATCGTTTCTTCGAAAAACTGTTGCAGCACCTTCATTGCTTTGCTGTTTGTTTTGGATGGCCGTGGACCTCGTATTTTATTCAACCCGAATGGCCACACGGGCTCTAACCTATGCAGTTCCTGTCTCAGTCGCCTTCGGTGTGTGTCGTGTTTCGGACAGTCGAGCAAGAGGTGACAGATATCTTCGTCACCGTGGCCGCATGAACATGCTGACGGTGTTGCACGCTGAATACGAAGTAGAAATTGCTTTGTGTAAGCAGTTCCGAGTCGTAGGTGATGTATGAGTGTGTCGATTCGTCTTGGAAGTCACGGTCTAATTGGTATTCAAGATTAGGATCAACAGAATATAGAATCGATTCCTTTGTTTTGTCTGTGAACCAGGTAGACAGGCATAATTCACGTATTGTTGTTCTTAAAATCCTATTTACATCATAATAGATACCGGAATAAGGCACGTTTGCGTAGAAGTAAGAGCGGTTTTCGCCAACTCATCCGCCATTTCGCTTCTTTTAATTCCGCAGTGACTGATAACCCACTGAAATGCCACTCAATGATTTGACTTCGTAGCGAGCTCTTTTAGTATAGCGTATACTATAAGCACATCAATGTGTCTTGAAGTGGCATTTTTCACACATGCCAGTGCTGCCAGAGAGTCTGTAATTACCACCAATTTTCTTGGTGTCGTTGATAGTATAATAAAGCTTATAGCTAGAAAAATCGCTACGAGGTCCGACGTTGTTGAAGAGGAGAGGTGGCCCAACCGACATGCATATTCTTCGTGCAATTCCGGAATTATCAGTGCTGATGTCGCTGTCTCTTTGGTGACGGAGCCGTCAGTGTACACGTGTTTGTATCCTTGGTAACTGTCAAACAGATGATGTGATGCCAACTGCTGTGCGGCAACGGTTGACATTTCATGTTAGCTCAAAATTCCTTCTATTGACGTTTCAATAGTTGGTAGTCCAAGCAGCCATGGTGGGTAGTGTTTGGTCCAGTGGCCAATGTGTCGACACAAGAAGCCGGGAAATT